TCCTGTCTGGCGTGAATTTGAAGTAGCCGTAGGTCGGCGCAATACCACACGTCGTCACGTGGGTCGCCGAAGCGGCATCACATCGCTTTGACGTCCTCAAACGTCGCCCTGCGAGGTGCCTGCTGCCGCCGACGACTGCAGCCCTCGCACATGAACTCCGCCGATTTCATCGGCGTGAATCACTCCTCTCCGCCTCGACGTACCTCCAACGCTGCTGCCGAGTTGGTCACCGCCGTTAACGCCCTGGTCAACGCCGCCTTCGTTGTTCACCGGTCGAGGAGAGGCAGGTCGAGAAGGATGCTCTGCGGCCCACAGTACGTGGATGCCCAGCTCGACGACCTCCAAGGGGAGGGTCTGCCCATACTCGCCATCCTCGTGGCGTTTCCTCTCATCTGCCAGTCACGTCTCCAGGATATCCACTACGCCTGGGTCACCTTCGCCCGCCATGGTGACGAACACGGCTGCTGGCCTATGAACAAACTAGGTAGCGCATGCCTAAGTCGGCTAGACTGAAGGTAAGTCGCGGTGCCATCCACGCTCACTGCACCATATGGAGATAACTCTAGCAATGGGAGCTAGTCTACGGGCTAGGCATGGGTTGGGAGTGATCTCTGTGTTTTTTCCTTAGTCGTTTGCTTGTTTTTTCTCTGCATGCACATTCACGGGGAAAGTTGGCAAGAGTTTCACTAGCAAAAGTTCACAACAACAATGATGGTGACAACATTGGCAAGCAAGACTACATCACAGCTAGCAAGCATGCAGGTCAACCTCCAGCGTAGCATGGTCGACCGCGTTCCAGCGCTGCACTGCTACCGCTCCAGCACCGTAGAGAGGCGGCGCGGCAATGTTGCAAGTCTACGGCGTGCCAACGGTGCAGCAAGGCGGCTGCACAGCGTTGCAAGCGCAAGACAGCGTTGCACCCGCAAGACAGCGTTGCACCTGCTTCCTAGGCGCGCACAGCTGGTTGGCGTGCAAAGCCCCGTCACGCACACAGCGCAGACACTCCGCCAGCGACTGCGCCCACCAGCCACGTCGACCTCGAGATACCACTTCCGAGGTCGGCCTCGCAGAAACCACCCTCGCGACCATCGCGCACGTCGCCCAAGTAACTCGGTCGTCCGAGCGACCTCGCCTGGTCGACCCAGCTCATCGGTCGCCGGCTGAACAAGACTGACGTCCCCCGAAGTCGGTGCCTCCCAGGCCAGTCTCGCCGGGCCGACCACCTGAACCTGGCGCCGCTCCAGCTCGACGCCCTGCAGCACGACGCCCTGCACTGCTGTTCGACGCCCGGCGCCCTCCGGCTTGGCGTCGGCGCCCACCAAGGTGCCCCTTCCCAGGTCGACGACGGCGTCTCCCAAGGCCGGCGCCCCTTCCCTCGTCGACCTCCGGGTCAAGTCGGCCGCCAGCTCCCTACTGACGGCGGTGTTACAGTGGCCTGGCGCCCAAGTCAACGTCGCCCACTACAGCTGGTCGGCCGCACGCTTCGCCCAAGTGAGGACGAGCCAACACCCAACTCGTGTTGACAGATGTGGGAGTTGAATATTCTTCAATATTTGCTTGCTCATTGGTAGCCACTCATAACCAATCCACGCGTGCTGAACTGACATCTTACGTTAATAATGTGTCGCATGGCTTCGACGTAAATTGTTAGGAATGACAGGGTGTGTTAGAAACAACATTTTAACGAAACAAACAACTATTTACCTAGGTTAAGAACCCCCCTCAATTTCGAGGGATCCGCTATCCGGGCGAATACGGGTATGTTGCGACGTTAGAAATAGAAACGAGTCATATGGGTATGCTGTTTCGGGTATGTCTGCTGTTATGAATTTCTAGGAGTTGGCTTGTGCTAGTAATTTTTACCCCCTAAAGCCAGAAACGAGTCGTACGGCTGTGACGGGTACAGCATCCCACACCACACCATCTCAGTTACACTCTTCGTTTTCGCCAGATCCAACCATATGGTCGACAAATCGGCATGGTCGTAAAAATGTTCCACGCCCTAATTTACTCTTGTAGACGCGCGCAAATTTCAAGCCAGTTACGTTCCGCTGCACTTCCCATCAAGCTTTTTATTCTCATTCTCACAGAGCTGCCTAGTCTTCAAGCGCTTACGTTAATCGTTTTGTCTCTTATCAATCCGTTACGATGCCTGCTAGATCGCCGATTGGACGGCTGTCAGACGATATCCTCGCCACTATCTTCCATCTTGTCGTACAATCCGACGGTCAGTTCCAGCACGCGCTTGTGTGCAAGGGATGGCACCGCGTCGCGTGTCGCGTGCACGACCATATCCAGATTCGCGAAAGGTGTCGCATGCGTCCTCGCGAGCTGCACCTCTCGTCAATCCCATGGCTCCGAAAGCTCGTCCTGGCCGCTGGTAGCATCACGTCCGTTCCTGACTCCCTCCTCTTGCGGATAGCCGACACGTGTCCAGATCTGACGGACCTCCATGTCGATTCGATGGAACGAGAGTACAGACGCGGAGGGTTCACTGAGAAAGGGGCATCGTATCTCCTTGAGAAGTGCACACGGCTGGAGGGACTTCATCTGGATTGTCAGTCGAATCTGACCGCCATTCTGGCGTCAATCAGCTGCCTTGCGTCACTCAAGAGCCTACACATCCACTGCGGGAAAAATGCTCTTCTTCCAGACGCGCTCACCTCGTTACAGTCACTCGCACATCTCGTATTGAGATGTACGGCCTGGATCAACTGCCTCAGAACTTCGGCAATCTGAAGCTGCTCAACACGCTGCAACTCAAGGGCTGGTTTCGTCTCAGATCCTTTCCTGATTCTCTCGGCCAGCTTAGCAACTTGACGCGTCTTTCCATCATTGGTTGCAGGACAAGGTTTCAGCTGCCCCGATCTATCTCCAACCTCTTGTTCCTGCTCACCCTCGAATTGTCGCACTGCGAAGACCTGTCACCGCTGCCCGAGAGTCTCGGGAACCTGCCAGCGCTTGAAACCCTAAAACTGGAGGAGGTGGGAGGAATTACCAACCTGCCTGTGAGTCTCGGACATCTGCAGCGGCTGCGAATCCTCTCCGTGATCAAGTGCCCCGACTTAATTTCGTTGCCCGACTCCCTCTCGCACCTGCCGTCCCTCACGGACTTGAGCCTGCTCCGCCTGACACTCCGCAGTCTGCCACACGGCGTAGGTCGACTGCCACACTTACAGACGCTCAAGCTAGACGTTGGAGATATCTTCCGCATGCCTCCCTCCACATACCTTGCCACCGCGCTCAAAGAGCTAACGCTTGAGAATGCGAGAGTTTCACTGCCCGAGGAGTTCGGGCAGCTGACTGCCTTGGAGAATCTATGTCTGGTTAAGCTATCACAGCTCGGCAGCCTGCCCGCATCGCTTGGCAACCTGACGAGCCTCAAGGAGCTGAAAATTGAGGACTGCAGCCTGCTGGCGCAGCTTCCCGACTCTATCAGTCGGCTTTCCTCCCTCGAGCTGCTGGAGATCAATGACTGCTGGAACCTGACGGCGCTACCGCAGGACACGGGAAAAGGCCTGCATAGCCTGCGCAAACTGATTCTGTTTCGATGCCTGGCTCTCACCCACCTCCATCCGTCCCTCTCTAACCTCTCCTCCCTCGAAACCCTGGATATTCACCGCGCAAGCAACCAGCTTACGAGGCCCTCTACCTGGCAACCTGAAAAGCCTCAAGGAGCTCTCTCTCTACTTCTTACCACACCTGCCCGCCCTGCCTGCCTCCCTCCCTTCCATCGACCACACTCTCACCAGCCTCTGGGTGTCCAAGTGCAAGCGAATCAAGACACTGCCAGAGCAGATCGGACGGCTGGGATCGCTTAAGAAGCTAGGACTATCAGAACTACCCAAGCTGAAGTCGCTTCCTCGCTCGCTGCTTCAGCTGCAGCGGTTGGAGTTTCTGCAAGTCAGTAACTGCAGCACGCTGGATTCTGTGTTTGGAGATGAACACCCGGGAGCCGCCGGGCATGACCTTGGGGAGGGAAGCGCTTGCCTCAACTTGGGTGGCGGATCCGAGGAAGGTGACAAGTGTGTGCTATTTCCTTTACTTCAGGGCCTCACGTTTGATGCCCTTCCGCTCCAGCTGCTCACTCCATCCGTGGGCTCCTTCTCGTTGCTTACCAGACTCGAAATCCAGCACATGCATCGACTCCGCTCGCTTCCGGATTCCATCACTTGTCTCTCACGCCTGCAAACTCTCTCAGTTTGCCATGCCAAAAGCCTGCTGGCTCTTCCAGAAACTCTTGGGAGGCTTTCGGCTCTCACAGCCCTCCATCTTGACGGTCTCTAGAGCTTGACTCAGCTGCCCGAGTCGTTGGGGCAGCTGAAAGAACTTCTGACTCTGGTTTGTGATGACATTCCGAGCCTAACCAGGCTACCCAAGTCCTTTCCCGATCTCTGCAGACTGCAGCTGTGCTTTCTGGAAAACATCGGAGTCTCGTGCTTTCCAGACGACTTCTGGAAGCTCTCTTCTCTTTCGGCCCTCACTCTTACAAAAGCGCCCAATCTTTGCAGCCTGCCCAGAAATTTCTCACAGCTAGCCAAACTGGAGGATTTGGACCTGGAGAGTTGCAAGCGGCTGGCTCACTTACCCACGGGCCTGCGGCAGATGGCGAAGCTGCTGGCATGCGTCATCTTTGACTGCCCTCTTCTCTCTGCACGGCAGAAGGTGGTGATTTGCGGTACAGCCAACCTGGACGAAGGAGAGCGTGCAGTGGGTGGCTCAGAGGAGAACGGGGAAGAGAATGAGGGAGAGCGTGTGGTGGGTGGTTCAGAGCAAGAGGATGGGGGGGGGACGGATATGGAGGGGGAGGCCGAGGGGAACGAAGGGGAGGAAGAAAGGAGTGAAGGGGAGGGGAGCGAAAGGGAGGAAAGAGATGTGAGCGAATGGGAGGAGAGTGAAGGGGAGGAAGGAGAGGTGAGGGAAGGGGAGGGGAGTGAAGCAAGGATCCAGGTGAGGAGGACGAGGGCGGCAAGGATGGGGAGGTGAGAGAGGAATGGCAGCACGCTCCCGGCCTCACCGCCTCCCTCCCCTCCGATCTCCTCCTCCTCGTTGTCTTTGACTCTGCCCTCTCCCGTAACGACACATCAGCAGCCAACTTCACCGGCTTTGCTGCCGAAGCCCCAGGCGGTGCTGAGCTGGCATTTGTCGATGCCACGCTGTCAGGCGCGCCCGCTGAGCTGGCATTCGACCCGGATTTTATAGCAAAACCTGGCGCGTTCCTGGGCAAACCGGAGGCGGCGGATGGGCAGGAGATTAAAGACGGGAGCGCGGTTCGGGGGATAGTGACGGGCGCCATAGTAGGCAGCTTCGAGGATGTGCGGTTCAAATCGGAAGAAAAGGAGAAGGAGAATGCGAAGGCGGAGAGGGGTGTGAAGGAGTTGCAAGTGGTGGGGCTGGGTGACGCGGAGTCCCTCCAGAGGGACGTGTTCGAGGCGGAGAGGCTGGCGGCGGGAATTATCCTCACCAAGCAGCTCGTCAACGCGCCGCCCAATGTGCTCACGCCAGCTGTCCTTGCTGACGTGGCGGTGAATCTGACTGCCGCCCACGCGGACGTGCTGAATGCGCGCATTTTGGAAAAGGACGAGTGTGCCGCCCTGGGCATGGGGTCGTACCTGGCAGTGGCGGAGGCATCAGCGGCGGACAACCCGCCCAAGTTCATCCACGTCACGTACACGCCGCCTGCTGCTGCGGATGGTCAAGGGCGGAGGAGAAGCCGCTGAAGAAGCTGGCGCTGATCGGCAAGGGACTCACCTTCGACAGGTGCGCATAGTTCTTCATTCTCAGCTTATTTCATGCTACTTCCCCTGTGTGTTCTCACGAGGCAGCTGGTCAAACTGCCGCCAAATCGCCTGTGCATGCATCCCTCTTCCTGCGTTGCCTGTCACCCATGCCCCTTATCGTTCCCTCCACCGTCCCTCACCTTCCCCTCCTCACCTTCCCCTCCTCACCTTCCCCTTTCATCGCACCTATCAACTCATCCGGTGGCCATGAGAGGCGCCAGGCAGCAAAGGGCTCCACGATTCATCTCATCGAGTTCTTCTTTGTGCCCACCCTTCCCCACCGATTCCCACCCATCGCACCCACCAGTGGCGGGTACAACCTCAAGGCGGGCCCGGGCTCAACGATTCACCTCATGAAGTTTGACATGGGCGGTGCTGCTGCTGTGCTGGGCGCTGCCAATGCCATCGCTGCCATCCAGCATCAGGGCGTGCAGGTGAGCCTCAGGGCGTGCAGGTGAGGGTCCGGGGCCGCTGGGAGGAGGCGGCGGGGCCGCTGAGAGGAGGCGGCGGGGCCGCAAAGGTAGGTGGCGGGGCCGCAGGTAGGTGGCGGGGCCGCTAGTAGGTGGCGGGGCCGCAGGTAGGTGGCGGGGCCGCAGGTAGGTGGCGGGGCCGCAGGTAGGCGCCGGGGCCGCACAGGTGGCGGGGCCGCTGGTAGGTGGCGGGGCCGCAGGTAGGTGGCGGGGCCAGCAGGTAGGTGGCGGGGCCAGCAGGTAGGTGGCGGGGCCGCACAGGTAGGTGGCGGGGCCGCGGGTAGGTGGCGGGGCCGCTGGTAGGTGGCGGGGCCGCAGGTAGGTGGCGGGGCCGCACAGGTAGGTGGCGGGGCCGCGGGTAGGTGGCGGGGCCGCTGGTAGGTGGCGGGGCCGCAGGTAGGTGGCGGGGCCGCATAGGTAGGTGGCGGGGCCGCGGGTAGGTGGCGGGGCCACTGGTAGGTGGCGGGGCCGCAGGTAGGTGGCGGGGCCAGCAGGTAGGCGCCGGGGCCGCACAGGTAGGCGTCGAGGCCGCAGGGCGGCGGGTCGGGGCCAGGAAGGGCGGCGCGAGGGCCGCAAGGCAGGCGACAGGGCCGCTAGGGCGGCGCGACGGGGCGAGAAAAAGGGGGAGCGCGACTCGGGTAGGGCTGAGCGCGCTCCGGGCAGGAAAAGAAAAAAAATGTCGAATTGGTGGGCCCTAGGAACAGTTCCCACGAGGGAACCTGCTTGATACCATGTGAGAATCGAAACGAGAATGAATGAACTATGAATGAATTGGGTACAAGTACTAACCCTAATTGGGTTGTACCCCTTATAGGCTACCCCACTATAGCCTACACAATATGCATGAGCTATAATGTTCTGACAACCATTCCCTGCCACCATCCCCTGCCACCATTCCCTGCCTGCCAACATTCCCTACCACAACTCCCTGGCACCAGTTTGTGGCGGATTTGTGTGGATTGCGATGCGAGGAGAACTTACTCTCCCTCCTGCCTCTCCTCTCGTCTCCTGCCCCTCTGCTTTCTGCCCCGTTCGTGGGCGCCAGTTTGTGGCGGAGGGGCTGCCATGGGCGCATTTGGACATTGCAGGGCCGGTGTGGAGTGAGAAGAAGGGCAGAGGCACTGGCTTCGGTGCCAGCCTGCTCTACCACTGGGTCGCCTCCCACTCCCCCTAAGCCTCCCACTCCTAGAACTTCCACTCCCAGCATGCGCTTTCTTCTTAGGATCCACCCATGGATTAGCTGCGGTTGGTTTGATTGGATGTGGCTCTCTTGAAGCTGGAAAAGATAGAAGCACTGGGTTGACCCCAACACTTTCGACCCGCCCAGCCAATGATGAGCAATGGGCTTTAAAACCATTTGATTCACCCCACCACCCTTACGTTTTGTTAATCCATGTGGTTAACATGTGAACTTCAAGAACACATATTTTGTTATTTTTGAGCCTCGAAGTAAGGTTATTTCATAGTTAGCTACAAAAACAAACTGCAATATGCTAAACATGCAGTAAGCTGTTGAACCATGTAGTGGTCATTGTTGAAGAAAAACATTGCTTCCTGTAACATTAGGTGACTGTGTTTACTGAACTGAAGGTTCGCTTCAAGCAGTATACGAAGTTCGGCAGTAGAGCGGATGCCTTGGGCTGGGGTTCTTTCTGTCGCGCTTGTCCTCTCGGAACTGGATCTGCTCCATGCTCACTCGTAGTTCCCAGTTGCTGCCAGTCCCCAAAGATATTCCCAAGAATAGGAAAATAGGCGATACGATCAACGATACACTCGACATCTTTGACTGGAGCACAATCACTAAGACCCCCCTGCTTGCCTTAACTGTTGACTTTCGCAAAGCCTACGATCTGGTTGACTGTGCCTTCCTTTTCCGGGCACTCACTACGCTTGGACTTCCTGTGCAGTTCATCGCCTGGGTCCGCCTTATGCACACCAATACCTCCACCCGCATCTCTGTTAACAACCTTGCTGGGCCCACCTTCTTCGTTCGAACGGGGGTCCGACAAGGTTGCCCTCTGGCCCCCCTCCTTTTTGTGTGTGTCATCGAAATCCTTCAACGCTACCTCTCCCTTTTCCTCCCAGGGTTCCCCCTCTCTACGACCCAACGCCGTCAGATGGCTTGCTATGCTGACGATGTCACCATCTTCCTCTCTTCCGCCAGAGAGCTTGGGACCACCCTTATACATCTCCGAACCTTCGCCGCCGTCTCTGGAGAGCACCCCAACTGGAATAAATGCTCAATTATCCCATTTCACATTGCACCAGAACTCATCCTCCTTGCTGGCCCCATCCCCATTCGCACTCCTCAAGAAGCAGACCGTATTCTTGGCATCTATGTAGAACGGGCACAACCAGGCGCCACCACCTGGTCTACGACACTCTCTCGCGTTCAGCGCACGGCTAAATTCCTTGCCGCCCTCCGTGCCACTGCTTCCTGCCGCAAATCACTTGCGTCGGTTTTCTTAAACTCCGTTCTCTCCTTCCCCGGCCGTTTTCAACCCCCCTCCCCCGACATTATCAAACGCCTCGACGTTTTGGTTGGGAACTTCCTCTCCTCCTCTCGATTCAAGGAACACGGCCTTGCGGTCCGCCTCATCCCCAATCGTCTCCTGTATAACTCCACCCGCCATGGAGGTCTCGGGGCGATCGCCCCTTCCACCCAAATCCGCGCTCTTGCCAGCCACCGCGCACTTCGCCGTTTCGGCGCCTCACCATCAGAAGAGGTGGCGAGAGCCGCCGTTTGCCTCCCTTTTGGCACACACTGTCTCTTAGCACACCCTGCCATTCTCCAATCAGGCATCCTTCCAGAGGCAACTCCGAGTCGAGCGCTTGCCGAACTACACGCATTGATAGAAATCTCCCCGGTTATTTCCCCGCCTCGCCTTGTCCCTATGTGTATTATGGCTGAGCCCACCGCCTTCAACCGATTCATACTCAAACCAAATGGGAAGCCATTCGGGATTCTTACGCGTGAACGCTTCCTCCTATCCATGCAGATTCGTGTCGGTCACTTATCTCACTTATCTTTCACTCCCTTGGCGTGGTCTCCTTTAAACATTTCACCTCAACATTCCCCGTGGCCAACTCCTCCTCCGGACGTAGAGTCTGGAGAGACCTCGTCCGTGCCATCCCCACACTCTGGTGGTCAGCCCTTTGCTCCCCCCCTCCCCCCTTGGCAGCTTGCGGGGAGTGGTTCGCCCCCAAAGAGGACTCAGAGTCCTCCCCCACTCTTGCTCTCCAGGTCACCTCTTTTTCCCCTCTGTCGTCGCTTTCAGCCTCCCTCCACAGTGTCCTTCCCAACCGCCTCATCGTCCGCGCGTCAATCGGAGACGGCACATTCAACATAGGTGACCTCTACGCGGTGCATGTCGTCGGGTCCTGGCTTGCAGGCCCCTACTATACAGGTGCAGGGCTCGGCGCACGGCTCGACATCTTACAGGACGGATGCCCCAGTGTAGCCGAAATTCGTCGCCGCCTCTACACAAAGCTTCCCCTTGACCACGCCGCCCGTTGGACTCACATCCTCCCAGCTCCTCCTCCTCTCGTCCCTGACTTCTCCCATGACTTTTTACGCGAGCAACCCAGTCTCCAGCGCGACGTCTTGTACCGATTCTACATTCGCGCTCTCCCTTCGGGCTCGCGTTTCAATTTTGCCATGGACCAAGGGATCTGTTCACTTTGCACTGAAGCACCTACAGAGACTATCTCTCACATCTTCTACAAGTGTGGGGTGGCCCCCGCAGTGATTTCCACTCTCTCCTCTGTCGCTCGTCGCCACCTTCACTGTTCTCCTCCTCCTGAGCTCTTGCTCTTTCCGCTCGCCTCCAGAGCTGGACAGGTGGCCCCCTGGAGCCTTCTGGTTGGAGCATCTGCAAAAGCTAAATGGAACGCGCGCTGTGAACACAAGTTTCAAGATTCACCCTCCTCCCGGTTTGAGATTCTCCAGCTCATCTTGGCACAATTCCTCATCGCTTTCAAAATCCTCCTATGGCGTAGCAAGAAACAATCAACAAAAAAACAACGACGCTCAGCTGCTCGCATCAAGCTAGCCACTCGATTTCGCTTCCTCGTTTTCGACCATGACGGAACCCCTTCTATTCACCCAGACCTCCGAGCCTCCTGGTTGCTAGGGGACTCTTTCCGCCCCCCCTAGTCCTTCCTTTTTTCAGCATAGAGAGCTCCCCAGCCGTGCTGGTGGTTATCCGCGGGATATAGAAACAATGTGTTTCCTACGTGCGCCTTTGGGCCGCTGGTTGTGTATACCATATTTCTAGTTTCTCTATGCTTTGCTGTACATGGTTACGACCTTATATAACCTTAACCTTAACCCCAAAGATATTCCCAAGGCCTACTTACCATGATCCTCATTCCACCACACCACACCACACCACACACCCATAACGGGAACAAGATCGAGGTTAGGTTCCCCGTCTCGCAGCTCTCTATGGCCCTAGAAGCTGCCAGCGCATTGTCATTCCATCGTCGCCTCGGGGAAGTCCCGAGCCACATCAGCGCGGTTAGGCACGATGCATTTGCCAACGTCCCCAGGCTGGCTGTAGGATCCGTTAAACCGCAGTCACCTTATCGTCGCTTCCACGGCCTCCTGCTCACTCTGCTACACCCCTTGCACCGCTTCCCTCCAGCAATTCACCTTCCATACGAACGCAGAATCACAGCCATCAGCCTTGAATTCGCCATTTCCGTGTTTATTTCCTCTGCGTTCGTCGCGGCTATCCTTTCCCCATCGCTACGGTGTCGCTAGCTCTCATCCGCAATGGAGTCTCTTTCCGCCGACCTCCTCTACGCCATTCTTCGCCGCGCCGAGCCAGCGGGGTTTCGCGTCTTAGCGCGGATGGCGTGCGTCTCGAGCTCTTTTAATTGCATGGCTAAGGAGTCCCTCTGGCAGTTGCACTGCCGGGAAAGATTCTCCGAAATCCTTGAGAACAAAATTATTTATGACTTCGAGCGTGAATGAGGCATGTCAGCACATGTTGAAGGGGATCATGAATGGCGTCGACTTTCGAGCCCTTGCACAGCTTATCCACTGGTGCCCGGGCGTGATAAGGGGGTGGCGAGTTGCAAACGGCGAGCAGGAGCGTGACAGCGATAAGCCGCACACGCGCTCGCATGGGCATTATGGTACCATCTCTTTTGACAGCTCAGCCCTAAGCATTGGGTGTTTGTGTCACCGAGACGGACTGGATAGAGCTGAACATATGCAACTTCAACAAGGGCTTCATGTTGACACTGATCGTGATAACCTTGTGTAAGGCCTTCTCTTCCACTCGTGTCTCGTGTTAACGCTCCTACTTCAAGTGCTCGCTGCTTTCAACGGTCCTCTTCAATGGATACTCTGCTAGGTACAGCAAAGAAGGTAAGCAGTGCGGTGATCATGGTCTATAGGCTACTTACAAGGATGGGCTGACTGGCGGGTAATGGCAAGGGAGGGAGAGGTGCGAGAGGATTGGGGTATGGAGATGGCAAGCAAGGCTTGTGCAGTAGCCAAACAGTCTGTCAGTCAAATATCATGCCCTTAAGCCGCCCTGGGTGGTGTCGGGTCGGGGGTGGGCTTGTGACCTACGGGTCTCGGGTCACTTGAACCAATGGGTCTTCAAGGCGATAGGCTGGCTGCCATCTGGATTTTACAAGAGGCACTGTGTGTACGACTTCTCTCTCCTCCACTCCTCGCCCAGCCCAGTGATCCATAGTAAGCCACACCTTTGGAATGCGTTTGGTAGGCACTCTCCAGAATTGTGCTTCTTTTCTCAGTTTCTCGCACAACCTGCCCCTATTATCAGCTATGGTTCGTATGCAACATGTCTTTGGTCGCATGTCATTTAGCAATGCTGTCCAAACATGAGTTTCATTCAATTAATATTGATGATTTCATATTCTTATGATAATGCTTCCTTTCTCCTTGCCCCTCAGGTTAGTCAACTTGCATAATAAGCGCCCCTTTTTGCAAAATGAGTCATGCCCTTTCTGCTCCTCTAAGGTGCGTCTAGTTTATTGTTGTATTCTGTGAATACACAAACTTCAGCTGATTTTATGAGAAGAGAAGAACCTGAAACTTTCCCGACTATGTTGTTTCAATCTCGCCTTTTGAACAAGTGAGAACCCTACCTGAATCGTTTGGCAGGTCTGGGACACCAGTGAGGATTGGTATGACACTTCGTATGTGAACAATAGGTCCATCGCCGTTCAATATACTTGCACCCAGGTGCGTCCAACCACCAGCCCCGGTAACATGGCTTCTTTCTTCATTGGTAGCGTGAAAATGTTGTTGTTGTTGCTTTTTGTTTTTTGACTTGTTTTGATTTGTTTTGAACCTTTGATTAACCTCTGATCGACTTAGAACCACATCTCTTGCTTTTGATCGTTATGCCTTTTGTAGGGACATTTCTACTCAGCTGAAAACGGAGCTTACATCAATAGAATGAGAGCAGTTGCACTCAGACCGCAGGTGGCAGAGGAGGGAAGGGCCATTGAGGAGGAGGGGGAGGGGATGGAGCAAGGGACACTGCAACAGATGGAGAATGGGGATCACAACGAGGAAGCTGCCACCAGCTACCATGCCAACCATGTGAGCCCATCTACTGGCTTTCTGCAAGTGCTGTTTTCACATTATGATTGGTTGCCAGAATTCTCACAGAGGCTTTCAGTGAGAAGCTCTGAGACTCGCCATTTCTGCCCAATGCTGGGAGCTGCTGGTACATACCTGGTGTCGAGATTCATTGACTTAGATGCTTTCATGGTAAATGCGCGGTGGTAGTACTATCAGCCGCATTTGCCCTTTCAAGGAATGCAAGTCACGCACACCGCTCTTACCGCTGCGATTAGTTCTTTTTTTTCTTTTTTCAATCCTTGCTAGCCTGGTTGATTCTATTTTTCTCTTCCTCCTTGTTCTCTTGTCTCCCTGTTCACCGATTTCTCCTGGATGTCAGCCTGCATCTGCAACGCCATCCAGGGAGGCGCCATCCAGGGAGGCGCCATCCGCTGCAAGCAGTCATGCTGCTCCTCCTGCTGCTACAGCCATTCGGACCACAGCTGCTACAGCTGTTCGTGCTACAGCCGTTGGTGGACCTGCGTCGTCCTCCCGTACCTGTCGATCTGCTGCACCAACTGCCCAGCATGTCAACACCTCCCCAGGTAGCCTGCGTTCCCAATTGGGGCTTGGGGGAAAGGGGGAAGCTTGGCAGGGACGGGGGAGGGCTTGCAAGCAGAGAGGGGGTTGTGATAGAGAGGGAAACGTTGGCACATAGAGAGAGGTAGAGGTTAGAAGCGAGGGAAAGGTGTTGGCAGAGAGGGCTGGGGAAGTTTCGCAGTGACTGAATTGGGAAAGGTTGCTAGCACCGGGGAAAAGGTTGGCGGAGGAGGGGAGGGGGGGGGGGGGAGGGGGGGAGATGGTGGGTGGGGTTTGACAAAGAGGGGAGAGAAGTTTGCCTGAGAGAGGGGGAAGGCTTGCAGAGAGGATAGGAAATGCTTGGTAAGGCATGAGGGTAGGTGGGGGGGCGGGGGAACGGGGTTGGCAGAGTGAGGTGGTGACTGGTTGGAAGAGAGAGTGGTTGGCGCCACCGCCGCCCGCACCACCCCCACCATTCCCGCCTTCACTACCACCACCACTGCCTGCCTCCCGCACCACTGGCACCCCCGCCTCGCGGATCACTAACACTTTTACCGCCCGCACCAACAGCACCATTGCTGCCCGCACAAGCAGCACCATCGCCTATACCATCCATGCATCAGCATTTCCACACTAATAGCAAGACAATGCTGAGAAGCATGTAAGAATAGGCATGAGGAAGTTAAGGAAATGAGAGGGTGTCCTCTTATGCCCTTGAGCCACACAGATTTTTATGCCTCGGTGCATGAGAGTCCCTCACCTCAATGCATGTATCAACTCATTTCAACATCTGTTGGGAAACCGTCACTTCTCTTCTTTTTTTTCCCCCTTGTTCCAGCAACATTCTGTCCCAGGACTCTAAATGACTCTCACCTGAATCACTCACCCCTCACAACCCATCTCTTTCGTTCGTCCTTACTGGACCTCCCTCCTTCCAGCTGGAAGCAGGGATGGAGCATCAAGCTCCTAGACATAAGTGAAGTCTGGCCGGCCCTGACCCACCCACCCATCTGCACCTGTTCTCATCCGATGCCATGCCCATCTACCAAGCTGCCCCACCATCTGCACGACGCTCTCATCTGCTGCTAGCTGCCATCAGGCATGCAGCGCACTTGAACAACGACCACACATGCTCATGCTTGTTTCTATGTTACAGGTTGAAAGCGTACTTGCATTACCGGTAGGTCATATGACAGGTTGATTGCAACCCTTTACGATACTTGCATTATCAAATACCTTAACAGAACTTTATCGCGTTTAGGCGTCACCTGGTTTCATTTCCCGAACCTTTCCCATACCAAGAAAATGCCTTGACTCAAAGCTTACTCTCACACTGGAGCCCAACTTACCTACGAACTAAGGTGCGCAGACCTGGTTCTGAATCAAGAATCTTTAGTGCTGTGCTATGCATGGCAAATGCACTACCGGTAGCCATAGCCAACCCTGGTGCTTAAAGCAAGGAAGGGACAACCAAACAATGTTCAACATGGTGTGGACTAAAACTGAAGCCTTTGTGATATGCACATGCCATACGCCATCTGTTATAAACAATGGTACGTATTTGCAACCTAACCACTGTCAGAAACAACTAGCAGGAATGGTACAAGTATGAAACCCTAAAGGGGCTATACCCCACATTAGCTACCCCACTACAGCCTACACAAAGGTAACACATACATAATTTGACACACCCCCATAGGCAAAGTGGGGGAGAGCAAGGGGTCACAAGACCAGTCAAGAAAGGCAAAGCAAGCTCAAGGTGGATCACAACGTCACCATACACACTGAGCAAAAGCAAAGGGCCACAAGGCCAATCCCCATGCAGAGGTATATGTATACCAACAACAGCACAGTGATCACTACCTAGCAAAAGCAAGCATGCAGGTATAAATATATATAGGTCACACTACACGCAAAGTCTACAGCAAGTGAGGAAACGTAGGCACAAGGCCTAACAAAGTACAAAAGTGCTGATGATCAACAGAAGGAAGTGCCTTGGTGCATATATCAGCAGTGTTGGCCTGAGTGGCCATGTAAGCAAGACGAAGCTGACCACGCTGCTGCAACTCTCGAGCAAGGAAGTAACGCAGAGCGATGTGCTTCGTTCTGTGCTCCAGTCTGTGCTCCTGACACAAGGCAATGGCGGCCTTCTTGTCTACGTACAGAACAGGAGGAGAATGAGGCCGCTCTCCCAAGTCGGTCAGCAGGTAGGTGAGCCAGCGTAGCTCCTGTGCAGCCATGGCTCTGGCGTAGATCTCAGCCTCACAACTGGAGCTGAGAACAGAAGACGAAAGTGTAGACCGCCACGAAACAGAGCCCGAGCCAAGGCTGAACGTGTAACCCTGTGACGACCGCTGCGTAGCCTGGTCGTCAACCCAAGATGCGTCTGAGTGCCCAGTGAGGACAACTGGGCTCCGCCCCCCAAGCACGAGCCCCATGCCCAATGTACTGCACAAGTAGCGCAGTACCCTCTTCGCAGCATCCATGTGCACCTTTCGGTGCCTACCAGGAGCCACGTAGCGAGCCAGAAGGCCAAGAGGGTACGCAAGGTCAGGTCGAGTGCAGGTCATCAGGTACATGAGGCAGCCCACTAGCTCTGGGTACGAACCACTCGGCTCTACGGACTCGTCCGAAGGTGGAGCTGAGAGCGAGTGACCTGTAGCCAGAGGAGTGGGCTGTGGCGAGGACCAGGTGAAGCCGAAGCGCTGAAGGACCTGCTGCACCATGTGTGACTAAGTCAGTGTGATGGTGCGGCGTGCTCTGCCCCGGGTGATCTGCAAGCCAAGGTAACTGCGCAGCTCACCCAGGTCTGTGCACGTGTGTCTCTTCTGCAGCTCCGACTTCACCAGAGCGAGAACCTTAGTGTCAGCAGTGGCAAAGACCAAGTCGTCGACGTACACGAGGATGTAGAACGGCGGCAGCGAAGTGTCGGTGCGCAGAAACAGCGACGGGTTAGCAGTGGAAGGGGCAAACCCAAGAGCCGCAAGCGACGTCCTCCGTGTGTCGTGCCACTCACGAGGCGCCTGGCGGAGACCGTAGACTGGCCGCCAGAGGCTCCACTGGGTACCAGGAGGGAACGACCCAGTGAAGCCAGGAGGGCGGCGCAGCCAGATCTCCTCGTGCAGACTGCCCTGTAAGAACGCTATGCTAAAGTCAAGAGAGTGATGCTCGTAGTCACGCTGAGCGGCGACGTGAAGCAACACCCGAAGAGTCGCCATCTTCGGGGTAGGGGAGAAGGTCTGGAAGAAGTCATCTCCTTGTCGCTGACTGAAGCCTCGTGCAACGTAACGAGCCTTGAAGACAGGCGAAGAACCCGGCGGCCGCTTCACCCTGAAAATCCATATGCGATCGACGATGTTCGCCCCAGGAGGGGGAACCTCATCGACGTAAATGCCTGTGGACTTCCAGGATGCCATCTCTGCGTCCATGGCTGTTCTGCCACTGAGAGGAGTACTCACCCGCGATCGCCTCAGCGTAAGAGCGCGGGGTCGGGATGTCTGGAGCATCCGGGTCTCCCTCAAGGGCAAGCAGCATGGGCACGAGATGAGGTACAGCAGCCGCAAGACACTCAAAGTCCTCGTGCCTGTCCTCAAGGACGTCCGTGCCAAGAGCATACTCACCCCCGACGGATGGAGGACAGACAGACTCAGACTCAGCAACAAGACTAGCAGCGAAGTCTAGACGATAGGCAGCAACAAGCTGGGTGACTAAGGCAGACGCAGTAGTGGACTCAAATGAAGGGTCAGTGACAACAGTGGCAAGCAGACGCGTGACCGTAGGGTGAGCAGCACAAGCGGGTCAGACTCAGGGTCTAGAACGTCAGACAGAGAAGACGCCGGAGGGGACGGCAGGGGAACACGCTGCGGAGCAGAGGAAGGACGCAGGGCCATGAGGTGCGTGCCGGGGATAGCCGGCGGACGCTCAGGAGGAACACGACAACTAGTGCGAACAGTGCGAACAGGCGAGACAGGACGGGACGCAGGCTCACGACGCTCAGCAAGACCTCTTGTCTGCTCAGTGTAAGGAGAAGGAGCAGGCAGCGGGGAGCCAGGATGTAACGGAAGACCAGTAGAAGACGGGAGGCTACGAACCTGGCGAAGGACGGAGTCTGGTGGTGGCAGAGACGAAGGTGACGGCGGAGCAAAGAACAGTCGCGGCTGTGCAGTACCACCAGCACCAGTAGCTCCAGAACCTCCAGCTCCAGTGCCTCCAGCGCTAGCACCTCCAGCAGCTCCAGAACCTCCAGCACCAACACCTCCAGAACCAGCACCTCCAGCAGCTCCAGAACCTCCAGCTCCAGCGCCTCCAGCGCCAGCACCTCCACCAGCTCCAGAACCTCCAGCAGCTCCAGAACCTCCAGCGCCAGCACCTCCACAACCAGCACCACCAGCAGCAGCACCCCCAGAACCGGCACCGCCAGCCCCAGGGTCTCAAGCTTCAGTGTCGACAGCAGCACCTCCAGGTCCAGCAGTACCTCCAGCCCCAGCAGCTCCAGTACCTCCAGTACGAGCACCTCCGGGACCAGCGGCTCCAGTAACTCCAGTAGAAGCGCCTCCAGTAGCAGAGGCACCAGCTCCAGTGCCCCCAACGCCAGCGCCTCTCGCAGTAGGGCCCCCAGCTCAAGCAGCGCGACCCTGACGGCTAACGTACCACTCATGCAGCTGCTGTGGGGAGAGAGGGAGACGTTGACGAGAGTGCTGCGGCGAGGCACTAGCAGAGCGACTACGGAGATGGCCACTCCAAGGAGACTGCTCACCAGACGCCTCAGTACCCCCTGGCGCAGCACCCCCAGACTCCTCACGCCCAGGCTCAGCACCTCCAGACTCCACACCCTCAGGCTCAGCACCCCCAGGCTTCGCACCCCCAAGCTCAGCACCCCCGAAAGCAGCACCCCGAGCAGGACCACCCCCAGCAGGACTTGAGTCCCCAGTGAACTCAACCGGCTCAGTCAAGGAGGGAGGGTCTACCTGAGACACACCTGAAGGAGCAGGACCTGGAGCGGGGAGGGGGTCTACCTGGGGAGGCCCTGGAGCGAGAAAGAGCGGGGGGGGGGGGGTGGGGGGGGAGAGGGGCAGTGCGGTAGGGAAAAAGACGATAAAAGGGGACCGACTCGTCAAAGGTGACGTCCTGAGACGCAAAGACACGGCACGAGGCGGGGTCGTAAAACTGCCAGCCAGGCGCGTCAGGGGGAAAACAAAGGAAGACGCAGGTAATGGCGCGAGGGGAGAGCTTGTCCGCAGTAGTATCGCGGACAAAGGCACGAGCACCCCAGAGCTGGAACCGTGACGCATCGCCAACCTCCCCCGTCCAACGTAGTGTGGGCGAAGTCTCCAAAACGGAGACACGGGGCCAGAGGTTGAGCTGATGCGTGGCGTATTGGACCGCAAACGGCCACAGAAAATGGGGGGCAGCCGCATGGATCATGGAGGTACGTGCGACCTCCATGACTAAGCCAATACGGCGCTCAGCAATCCCATTCTGCTGCGGAGAGGCAGGAAGCGTGAACGTCTGGCGGATGCCGTGCTCCTCACAGTAGGCTCGCAAGAGGTCAGAGGTGAACTCACCACCTCTGTCAG